ATTGTAACAGCTTCTGATTTTGTCGGTTTAGAAGTTTTTATTGTAACAGCTTCTGATTTTGTCGGTTTAGAAGTTTTTATTGTAACAGCTTCTGATTTTGTCGGTTTAGAAGTTTTTATTGTAACAGCTTCTGATTTTGTCGGTTTAGAAGTTTTATTCCACTTTTTAGAGCTCAATTGTCGCTTTCCACTATTATTATTAGAATCGTTCAACTCCAAGTGTCGTTTTCCATTATTTTTTTTATTAGAATCGTTCAGCTCCAAATGTCGTTTCCTATTATTTTTATTAGAATCATCCACGTCTAATCGTCGCCTCCCGTTATTCTTATTCCAATTTTTAGAACTCAATTGTCGCTTTCCATTATTATTATTAGAAGTGTTCAACTCCAAGTGTCGCCTCCCACTATTTTTATTAGAATCATCCGCGTCTAATCGTCGCTTTCCATTATTCTTATTAGGATTGTTCAGGTCAGACTGTAGACTCCTGTTACTCTTATTAGGATTGTCCGAGTCAAATTGTAGATCCCTATCCTTCTTATTAGGATTGTTTAAGTCAAATTGTAGATCCCTGTTATTCTCACCGGGACTGCTCAAGTCAAATTGTAGATCCTCGTTATTCTCACTGGGACAGTTCAAGTCAAATTGAATATCCTCGTTATTATCACTAGGACTATTCAAGTCCAATTGTAGATCCCTATTATTCTTATTAGGATTGTTCAAGTCCAATTGTAGATCCCCGTTATTCTCACTGGGACTGTTCAGGTCAAATTGAAGATCTTCGTTATTCTCACTAGGACTGTTCAAGTCCAATTGTAGATCCTCGTTATTCTCGTTAGGATCGTTCAAGCCCAATTGTCGCTCTTCTTTATCCTCATTAGGATCATTCAAGTCCAATGGTAGTTCCTCGTTATTATCATTAGGATTATTCAAGTCCATCGGTAGTTCCTCGTTATTATCATTAGGATTGATCAATTCTGATTGTAGCTCCTCGTTATTCTCATTAGGATTGTTCAAGTCCAATTGTAGCTTCTCGTTATTCTCATTAGAATTGTTCAAGTCCAATTGTAGTTCGTCGTTATTCTCATTAGGATTGTTCAAGTTCGATTGTAGTTCCTCGTTATTCTCATTAGGATTGTTCAAGTCCGATTGTGGTTCCTCGTTATTCTCATTAGGATTGTTCAAGTCCAACTGTAGTTCGTCGGTATTCTCATTAGAATTGTTCAAGTCCAATTGTAACTCGTCGTTATTCTCATTAGGATTGTTCAAGTCCAATTGTAACTCCTCGTTATTCTCATTCTCATTAAAATTATTCAAGTTTAATTGTTGTTCTTCGTTACTATCATTAAAATCATTTAATTCTAATTGTTGATTCTCGTTACTCTCATTTTCTGTTAAGCAGTAATCATCTAATTGAATGTCAATATTAGAATTATCAATAATCACTTGTACAATAGGATAACTATCATCAGAATTATTTTGATCGAGATCTTCTTTACTAAATTTCGAATAATACTCTGACCTATCTGAATTAACTGAATTAACAACTGAATTATCTGAATTATCTGAATTATCTGTGTTAGTATGTTCATCATCATCAGAAGTCTCAATTTCAGAATATATTACATTAGAATCATCAATATCAGATTTTGTGGTATCATTTGACACATTCACATCCCCATCTTCATTTAATGGTATAATATAGTCCGAAAACCAAGCACTTTTAAACTCATCATGTAAAATTTCTTTCCAATTTTCGGGAAATCCCCTCTGAAATTTTTCGCATAATTCTTGTGAAAAGCCATTATTTATCATATCTTGAATTGATATCTCTCCTTCAAGTTTATAAAAGTTGTTCCTATCAGTTTTTACTAAATTTTGGTCTATCCGATCAAGAATGAGCGATGAATGCCACCGACGATTTTGACCATCTGATTTTTTAAGGACACCAGAGAGTATAATCCATACATCAGTTCCAGGTGGAAAAGAACCTTTGTTATCTGTCAGGGTAACACATCTCAAGTACCAATTTGATATAGAATGATGGATATTTTGATCATTTGTTGGATAAAATGGACTGGAATTTTCAGTCCGTAAACCATAAGATTCAAGTGGGGAACTATCAGGTCTCCTTGGAAGAGGACGTAAAAACTTTGATGAGGGAGGAGTGTGAGGTGAATAAGACATTAAGCTAGGATCTGGATGAGGAGACATATATGGTGACAGATGAGTTGACATATGGGGAGGCATATGGTTTGTAAAAAAAAAGGGATGACCATATTCCACCAGATTCGGAGATGGCAGTAGATTTGGAATACTAGGTTGCTGAGAAAAGTTGAATGCACTTGGATTCTCGAAAGATTTAGAATTGTATGGGCAATTTTGAGCAAGAAATTGATTTCCTATAAAGGGAGGAATCCGACTTGCTACCTCTCGCTGAACTTGAGAGGGAAACGCGCCATATGGTGGGGTAGAGAAGGCCGAGCCAGCGACTATACCGCCATTATGAATCGGAAAGGGAGTTCTGTTGTAGCTTGAATTTAAGACGTGACAGGGCATTGGCGATCGAAAAGCACCTCTATCGCTCTCGTTACTATCAAAGATCGCGTCGAAAAGTTGCTTTTGTTCTTCAACCATTATAACGTTGTGCCTGACTTAAAGATAACTATTAACGAAAATGTTTGAAGTATATGCGTTATGTTACAGGTGAGAAAAATAAGAAGTGCACTTACAATTAGAGTGACATAGCTTTTTTCCAGTCTTTCGTTATTGCAAATTTTGTGGTTATATTGTCATGTGAAGTTGTGTCGATATCATTTTGATTGGTTGGTCACAAAATGACCTTCCATTAATGTTATATACGTATTGTACGTATTTTACAATATATATATAAATATAATTATATATATCAATATAGTGCAGTAAACAAAGAACAGCTTTGGCCATTCGTTTTTTGTTTTATATACAAAAATTTTATAAAATATTTACCGGTTATTAAAATATATAAAGTTCATAATGCTATACTTGATAAAAAATTTCAATTATATAGATATACCGATTTTTTTTTGATAACAGCATACAGATAAACTTTAGACTAAATTTATTTCGTTTAGAGTGTCTAATGTGATTTAGGGATCTTTTATTGTTTAAGCCTCAAGACTAAACGTTCAAAAATTGCTATATTGATGGTTAAGAATTTTTTGAATTCAATAAAAAAAAAAAAGAGCTTTAGTTAGTAGAGTGTACGTAGATAGTGATATGAATCGAAAATCGATTAATCGGTTAGTTGGCTGAGTTGGCAACTAATTGATTGAATATTAGTGATCATAAGTGATCACAAATCATGCATATTTAAAATGATCTCTAGTTAAATATCAACCAAGAATACCGATATTCTTTGGAAACTCAAAAAGATCGATATTGGGAGGCTGCTCAATTATTCCAGTATTCTATTAATGACTATATATATACATATATATTGCAATTCCCGAAAATGTATTACGTATACGTAACATCAACTGGTCTACTTGAAATACTCGTTGATGGCCAACAGAATATGAGAGCTTGAAGTTTGTCAAGACAAAATTATTAGTATATGAAAAGCCGCAAGAATGTCTGTTTCTACTATAACCGACACGAAATGTAATTTAAGTGTGAATGGAAAGTAATTCTTGCAGAAGTAGACACCCTAATCTAATGTGTGGAAGCAAGAGTCATGCGCACAGTATTAAATGTAAAAATTGAAATCATTTAATTAATGCCTAAAAAATTTCACTGGCCAATCAGATTTCAAGATCAAGTGTGACGCAGAAGAAACGCCTGCAAAAAGGTTTTCCTTGCGAAATTTTGGTAAACTTAATAGCAAAATCTAACCCTAATCTAATAACGAAAAAGTTTTTAGCGACATTTTTTAGGTTGGTAACACTAGATCAGTTTTCCGGAGCGAATATATGAATATAATTAGTATGAGTTCGTATTTATAATGCCGAGGAAATAAGAGTATCAAGGGTAACTTTGCGTAAATATATAGAGTACTCTGGACTAATTTTACAGCTGTTTTCATAATTCCCAAAACACCTGATAAAAATTAGCTGAATGATTTTTTCGGCTGATTCGATTAAGCCTGTGATTTCAATCATCCCATAAAAACAAATGTAGAATAAATAGTGATAACAAATAAACTAAGTATAAATTGCTCAAACATATGGTAAAAACCTTTATTTGATTCCATTCCTTTTACTCAAATCATTCTACGTTCATATCCCAATAGTAATATTTTTAAACCAATGATTAGAATTTCTAAAGACTTTATTATTATCCCCAATGAAAATGGCATTCATATTTACGTAAACCCCCAAGTAATTAAATTTTTTATTTTTTCGTAAAATAAAGCAGATTTCTATGGAACCAGGTATGATGTGCGATTATTTGAAATATGGTTTGGATAGTTGTATGTGATAAGAAAATTTTCGCTCAATGGTAGTGACTGATTCCGTTTATAATTAGCACTATCTCAAGGTAAACACTAATAAGCAAATATTCAGACTTCGAGAGTTATTATTTATTTATAATGCAGATCAGTAATTTCTTAATACATATATATACCAGGCATATCATTAACAACTATTGTTCAACATAAATAATACGTATATTCTGGAGGTACTCTCATTGACTGCTTTTGATTTTCTAAATTAAGAATTTCATTGTCATTATACCGAAATTCATAGTTCGTCACAGTTCGTACTCCAAGCAATGGTACGTTTGCATTATTAGTCAGATCTCCAAGAGTCATCCCGACTGGAATTTCCTTGTGCGCTTGTAAATTATTCTTGCAATGTTTTGATCGATTCTTTGGATTTGTACTAGGAATTAACGGTATCGTTCTTGTAGAAGTTTCCTCTAAACATAATAAGCATGAGGTCAGAATATGTTGTTTTCATTGATTTTAATAAGAGATAATTGTTTTGGATGAAAAATGTTAAACAAGTCCAAATTTTTGTATTAAATTACCAGTTTGTAAGTATATTGTCCGAAGTGTAGCGGAGGACAGTTAATATTTAGTCATGGCGGTCCTATATTGTCCCACAAGCCGTGTGCGTTTAATATATAGATCACGTGCCGCATAAGTTATATTATTGATATTTATATAGGCTAACTACCATAACTGCATCAAAAAGGTAAATCACAATATTGTTAGCACATGATATAAATAGATAGATAATCATTAAACTATACAACCAATCAACAAGCGTAATATTTCTCTTATAGTTTAACTTCGAAGTAAAATAAGTCGCGTTTTAGAAGAATAAAACTATTCACCCTCTAAAAAATATATAACTTTCGAAAACTATCTGTAAAATTTATAGTAAAATCAATGTGTTAATTATATGAATAATAATCAATAAGAAAAAAAAAAACCAACGTTGAACTTAGTGAATTAAGCAGTACAATATATTTTTATTACCTTTTACTATACAGTAGACAGTACTTCAACTCTTAGCAGATCTACCTTTTATTGCGCGATTCAACGCGTTTCAACTTGACATTCTTATCAAAACGTTCGCTGGGAAGTTATTTAATTATATATATAGTAAAGTATTATACGGTTAGTTTTTTTTTTTTTTTTAAGTTTACTAATACCCGAAAATTCTGGTTTTATACTACTATCCTATATAAACACTTGCGTAACGTTGATCCCGGAATTCATCGAAACGAATGTCCCCCCTGCTCATGACAACATAATACATTTATATGGATCTTCCGAATAAGTTCATCCAATCAATTTAATTCGGTATGATGTTCATGTGACTTAAGGACCGAGCCTTGGAAGGACCTGCCAGGATCGGTTAGGACTCGATCCCCAAGGACCCCTAAACTGCACACGACTTCAAACGTTCCAGTTTGCGCGAGTAATACAACCGAAAAAGGAAATCGAATTTTGTAAATAAAGTGCCCTTTAGACGGCCCCTTTACGCGTTTGTGATCAAAATAAGTACCTTCTTATCACTTCTTTATTCTTGCGTATTTTCTTTCACTTCCTTTTTTCTTGCAACTTTTCTTTGTTTTAGCAATACTTTTTATTAGTAAAACACTTTTTTCTTTTCTTTAAAGTTGTATATACGCTGTTGGTGCGACTAGATAGTAAGTATAATCACACGTAGATTATATGAAACTAG